TGGAACAAAATAAATAAATAAACCTTTGTCTTGATAACTCACTGGGATTTCAGGACTAATTTGCTACCTCTGCATAACCCATTCTATCCTGACAGTTACAGGGTTTTTATATTTTTGTTTTTTTCCCAGAAGAGTGGATATCTAGATCTTTCTCCAAAGATGTTCTACTCTTAGAAATTGTAAGCAAACTACCAAGATTTGAAGACATCTTCAAATCTTACTTCAGGGGACTGAAGTAAGAGCAACTTATGAAAACATCAATGAAAAGGACTCAAATATGTAGAATAAAAATAAATGTCTTGCTGGCCAAGTTTGCATCATCAGAACCAGATGGTGGTTCTTCAAGAGGTTCATCTATGGAATCTGAAAGGTGACAAGACTTTTCCTTTATTAAAGAATGGGGAAGGTGTCTATTCAAGCTTTCAAATGTGAGGGATAAAGGGTGATTTTTCCATAGGAGGCTTTTAAGATCTTACAAAATGAAGAGTTTGTACCATGAAAATCTCTGGGAATGATGACCACTTAGGTCTCTGAGAAAGATGTCCAGAAGAGGGAACCATAAATGGAAGCAAACAGAACTTGTCACAAGGAAGTCCCAAGGGAAAAATAACACTTGGGGCAAAAGCTCTCATTAAGAGTACATTGAAAACCTCCTAGTATAACGTTTTCCTTCATAGAGCTAATATGCCATTACACAAGATGAAACAATCATCTTCAACTGCTAACTAAGAGACCTCATGCAATAAAACCCCTATGAGTAGAGGCTGTAATATATATTCTGAGTTTGAAAGATAGTGACATTTCTGAGTTCCCTAAAGGCCTGGAAGCAGCAGTAGCACGGCAGAATCTAAGGCTGACTTGTTGATCTGTGAGGCTCTTTTAAATGTACTTTTAAGGCTGCCTTCTTCCTAATCTTAAACACTTGACCTTTCAGTCTGATATTCTTCAGTATTATTAGATTAGATGATTAGTTATTAAATATACTGTCTCCAGTAAATAGGTAATTGTATAATGCAATGGCCTTCAGCTTTTCCAGGTCATGTTCCCATGACATTTACAGTTAGAACACTAAGTCCTTTTGTAGTGGGAACGTTTAACCCTTTCTGTGGGCAGAAGAATGTACAGGGATTTCCCTGGATCTCACATTCCAGTGGACCAAACGAAGGGCAGTCAAAAATGTAGAGCATCACATGTTTTTGAGAGCTGTAGGACTCAAAGATCACAGAATTCTTATTACATTCATGTCCACATAACAACAGTAAAAAAAAATACATAAACGAACATTTTCCCTGTGACAAGCTGGGTGTGACGAACACAATGTAGGTACTCACCAGGGGTTAGGTGGTGCTTGAGAAAAGTTTATAGCTCTGTTCTGCAACCAAAAGCACACAGGAGGAGAAGTTTTAAATGTCTCTGTTGGTGTTTGCTAAATTTTGCCTGGTGTGAAAGAGTGGGGATGGAGAGAGGAGGGAGAATAGTGGGAAGGACAGGATCTAACCTGTTTTGGTGGCTAACTACGTGCCAAGCACGGTGCCAGGCACTTTACTTACACAGACTCATTTAATCATCCCTGAAATAGAAACGAAGTGTGTATTATTCGTCCTCATTTTGCAATTTAGGAACCTGAGGCTCAGAAAATTGAAACTAGCTCAAGATCAAACAGACAGTGTAGCTGAATTGGGATTTGAACTTGGATCTGTTTGACTTCATAGCCCTTGTCCTTTACTATATCTCACACTCTCTTCCTTTCCTTAAGTGCCCACTATATGTAGATGTGATGTTACTCCTGTTATGAAAGCAGGGGGGAATGGTTAGGAAAATCTAAGTATCAATAATCCATCAGATGTCTTTTTAATTGAGTGTTTACTGTGTTCCTGGCAGCACACTGTGAAGAATACAACAGATGTGTGGAGACACAATTATAGACACTCCAATTAGAGGTCAAACTTGAGTTGAGGAGGCAAAGCGACACAAATAAAACAATTCCTAAATTGTGTCCTATGAATGGCAAGTCTAAAAGTTCACCAAGGTGGAGGTAAGTATGGTCTGGTGATGGTTACTGGAATCCGAGGGACTATAATCTTGTAATGTAGCCAAGATTTGGATAGAAAGGGCACTTCAGGTACGAGGTGTGGGTGATGTGAGCCAAGGCCTGGTGTTAGTGTTGCAGAGGGGACACGAGCCTGGAGGGGGAGGAGGAGAGGACCGTCTGATTGCCTTCCCCTCCCTGTCTGGACCTCCAGAGTATCCTGGGCTCCTCTTTATTGCTTGTACCACACTGAGGCAATTAAGTGCATGCACTGCATACATGTCCAGCTTTCCAAGTGAGCTCCTTGAGCATAGGGAATGATCCTATTCACCTTCTTGTTCCCAATGGCTCAAGCAGTGCGTGATCCCCATAGGTGTTCAATAAATCCTTGTGAAATGGATGGATGGATGGAACAATGGTTGCTGGTGAAAGGTTGAATAATAGGGGGTAAAGACTGAAGCCAGACTGACACAGAGGCAAGAAAAAGGTTGAACCGGAAATGACCGTAAGAAGGGTCTTGCTGGGCTTCCCTGGTGGAGCAGTGGTTGAGAGTCCGCCTGTCGATGCAGGGGACACGGGTTCGTGCCCCAGTCCGGGAAGATACCACATGCCGCGGAGCGGCTGGACACGTGAGCCGTGGCCGCTGGGCCTGCGCGTCCGGAGCCTATGCTCCGCAACGGGAGAGGCCACAACAGTGAGAGGCCCGCGTACCTCTTGCGTAAGTAAGTTAACAAGATAAACACAGTATTCACAAATGGATTAGAATGGTGAGAAACAAGGAAAACTGAGGTAATCAGAGCCTGGAGCAGTAAAATTGAGAAGGTGGAAAAGGAAGAATTAGAAGTCAGAGAGCAGTGATCAACAACGGGCTTTGGTTAGAAGTCTGGTGTAAGAGAGAAGGGAAGGCAGGAATCCTACAGGGAGGAATGTGGGACGCAGGGAAAGGATCTTGTTTTAGGGAATGATGGGCTACTTTTAGACAAGTTGCAGATTTTAAAAATAAACAAACAACTCTGTTGAGTTTAGGGTCATTTTAGGTATTTGGAAATATCTATGAAAAGAGGCTGGGAGTATGGATGAGGATGGCTGCATAGGTTCAAGCTTCTACCTGTTGGAGGCACGGTCCGGATATGTCTGGGGGGGCGGGGAATGATCACCTCATAAGCAATCATGGTGACGGTTTCTGCCTGGGAGCCTCAGGCATGATTTGAGGAATGAAACGATCCACTTGATTTAGTTCACCATGAGATCTCCTAAGGCCTTGATGTGTGATTTCAATCTCTGAGTAATCGAATTAAATTCATTTTTGAAGCCTCTTGAACTGATGGTTAGTGATCCGCAGACATTCTGACTGGCTCTCAGTGCATCAGATTCCTACCCTGGTTGACTGCACCCTGCACCTGCTTCCCCTACATCAGTGTGGTTGGGGCAGAGGAAGGTACACACACACACACACACACACACACACACACACACACACACACACAC